TGTGTGTGTGTGTGTGTGTGTGTGTGTGTGTGTGTGTGTGTGTGTGTACAGGATACACACAGTAGTAAATCTTTTAAAAACTTTGTTTCAAGGCACTTGCAAAACTTTATTTTTGCTAAGAGAGTTTACATTTCCTTTTTAAGATATTTATGATTTTTAAATGAGTATTTTGCCTGTGTGTATGTTTGTGTATGTACCACAGTCATACAGTGCCTGAGGAGGCCAAAAGAGGGGAGTTGGGCCATCTGAGACTGGAGTTATAAAGAGTTGTGAGATGCTACGGGGATGCTTGGAACTGAACCCAAGTCCTCTACAAAAACAGCCAGTGCTTATAACCCCTGAGCCAGCTTTCCGGCCCAGATTATGTTTTCTATCCATCCATTAAATTCACTTTTCCTGTAAATGAAATTCAGTGCTTATCAAAAAGGCTTTGTGACTGAGAATCTATCAATGGTTCTTTAATTTTGAAAGCTGAAAAATAAATGAAAAATATTATACTGGCTGTTGAAGTTTGACGGCACACAAGCATACAATCTGTAAGAATTACTCCTGTGTGTGGAATAAGAACACAGGAAACCTATCAGCAAACTAGATTTGTGTTACAGAGAGCAAGCGTTGGATTCTGAATGTGCTTTGGTATTCTTTGACTTGTAGAGATTAGTAGCCATTTGTAAAAAGCTGGAAAGCCAAGGCCTGATAACCTTGATAGGATCACCTCTTGTGGGGATAAAGTTTGTCACTTCACAGATGTGAAAGGATAAGTTGGATGGTTGTGTCCAAGTCACATACTGAGAGCTTGTGCCAAGTTTTAAGTCTGCGTTTTTGTTTGAGAACCCCTGCGAGGTGTTCTCTGCCCTCAGATTGGTCAAGAGTGTTTACAAGAAGGCAGCGTCGCATCACTTAACTGAGAGACCGTTAGTAACCTGCACTCTTGCTGAAATGCACTGCGATACCGGCCAAGAGTGATATCGCATCTGTCCTTCAGTGTGCTGCCAAGAATGTCAGTGGACTCTGTCAATGTGAGATGGGTTGACAATAAAGTAAAAGGCAGGTTGGTTCTTCCTCTCCTCCTGCTCTAAGATAGGATCTTATGTTTAAAAAAAATTTTTTTTAGATTAGAAATTTTTAAATGAGCAAAAAGCTGTTAGTAAACATTTGTCAAAGGAAGACATTTCAAATGGCATGTAAAAAAGTTAAATGCCGCCACCAACCAACAGGAGGGTGTAAATTCAAGCCACAATCAGTCACTTCGGCAGCAGGCATGGTGTTGGGCGCCTGTCATCCCAGGAGGCTGAGAGAGTCTGAGAACTTGGTAAGAACCTGTCCCAAAGTGGACAAACAAAAGGTGACACGTGTGGGTGCTCCTATAAATTATTTCCACTGTTTAGGAAAATAATGCAGCAGTTTCTCAGGAAATTAAGAACGGAGCTCCCTTATGGCCCAGCAGCCCCACTTTTGGGTGGCATAGCCCGAGGGCATGATGGCTGTGTTGGGAGTGCACCTGCATGTGGCCACTCAGGGTGTGCACAGTATCCAGGGTGCAGAGTCAGCATGAGTACCATCGCCAAGCAGATAAGGTAATTGTTTGTCAGTCGGATACTGCTTAATGGCGAATTTTAGGTTGGGGGAAGAATCGGATTTTTTTGATTTACACAGATTTACTGTGTAACCCTGACTGGCCTTTAACTCATGGTCCTCCTGCCTCAACCTGTAAGTCCCGAGAGTCCGGGTGTATCCCATCATACCTGCTCTCTTCAGCCATTAAGAGAGCAAGCACAAAAAGGAAATATGCTGCGTGATATATTTCTTCTATGTAGAATCTAAAAACACTGAATTTAAAGAAACAAGTTAGACAGGCAGGAGAATCAAGAGGCCATTCTGAGACACTTGGGATTGTGTCTCCTCCTCTCCTCCCTTTTCTTTTTATTACTTCTGTCATAAAGATATGAGAAACTTGTGTTTTAAGGTTTGCTTTATGTGTGTGTGAGAGTATATGCCACACGTGTGCCGTTAGCCATGCAGGGTGGTGTGTCTGCATTACAGGCTGTGGTGAGCTGCCAGGTGTGGGTTCACCATGGGAAACAAACCCAGGGCTGGGAAAAGCAACAAGTACTTCTAACACTGAACCGTTTGTCCAGCCCAGACACCTTGCCTTAAAAATAACAGAGAGCCGGAGAGGTTGCCCTGGGGTTAAGAACACTCATGGCTGCTCTACCAGAGGACACCTGGGTTCAGATTCTTACCACTCACTTTGTTGGCTAACAACTGTCTATAACTCCAGTTCAAGGGGATCTGACACCCATTTCTAGCCTCCAAGGGTACAGTCATGCATGGGGTATACAAACATAATTAAATAAAACACCCATAAGCTTATTATTGTTGTTGTTGTTATTAAAAGGAGAGCTAAGTGTGGTGGTACACACCTTTAATGCCAGTACTTGGGAGGCAGAGGCAGGTGGATAGCTGAGTTTGAGGCCAGCCTGGTCTACATAGTAGGTTTCAGGACAGCCAGGGCTACTTGTTACACCTTCTCTCAAAAAAAAAAAAAAAAAGCAGAATTGATTACCAGGGTCTTGTAAAAAGGGCATGTCAGCAAAATGGGAGATATTGTTTGAAAGGATGTAAAATCTTGTGTAGACAGGCATGAGCATGGAAAAGGTTCTGGACAATTGTACAGCATGGTCACTGCAATTAGTAATGATTGTGCGCTTAAACTGCTGGGACTAGATTTCTAAATGCTCATATTATTTGGTGATGGGTTGTGTCATATCTATTTAATCATTCTACCATATATATCAGAATATCACATCCCTAAATCCATAAAACAAAATGTGCAGATGTGAAAGATTGTGAGACAGTCTGTACCTTTTGATCTCATTTTGTATAGCAAGTTTGTGGTGTTTGTGTCACTTGCACACATGGGAACTGTTAGGAGTGGTCTCCTGGTGCTTTAAAGGGCTTGTCTTTCTAGATTCTGCAAGTACATGTTTTATATCAGGGTCTTGGGAAGGAAGAATGCTAGAAAGGTGAGGTAGAAACGGGGTGATTTCAGGTACCCATTTACTGACAAACCAACCTTAGATGATGACTTCCCTGAGAACTCAAGGCCAGTGTGTCTTTGTCTTTCTGATTCTCGTGCTCCTCATCATTTTCAGGAACGGCACCAAGTAGCCAGAGCACTCCTGCCAAAGCTCCCAGAGCCAAGAGCAGCCCGTCTACTTCCTCTCCGTCAGCCGCAGCTTGTACGCCAGGCTGCGCTGCAGACCTCCCTCTTCCTTCAAATACCCCCACGTTCTCACTCAGAACCACTCCTGCCAAGACCCGCTCTCCAGTTGGCAGAAGAGGCTCCATCTCTGTGTCTCCCAAGCCACTCTCATCTTTCAAGATGTCGCTCAGAAACTGGGTGACCCGAACACCTTCCTCATCACCACCCATCACTCCACCTGCTTCTGAGACAAAGATCCCATCTCCCAGAAAAGCCCTCATCCCTGTGAGCCTGAAGTCATCGCAAGCAGATGCTTGCTCTGAATCTAGAAATAGGGTGAAGCGGCGTCTAGACTCAAGCTGTCTGGAGAGTGGGAAACAAAAGTGTGTGAAGAGTTGCAGCTGTGTCACTGAGCTTGACAGCCAAGTGGAGAGTATTCATGTGGATCTGTGCTGCCTTTCTGGCAACCAGGAAGCCCTTAGCAAGGAGTCTGCGGATCCCACCAAATTGAGCAAGAGTGAAGGCATTGGCACAAGCATCTCAGAGCCTCCTTCTCCTGTCAGTCCTTACATCCCTGAAGGCTGTGGACCACTGCCTCTTCCTCTGAGACCTTGTGGAGAAGGGTCTGAGATGGCAGGCAAAGAGAATAGCTCCCCAGAGAATAAGAACTGGTTGTTGGCCATGGCAGCCAAACGGAAGGCTGAGAATTCATCTCCACGAACTCCATCGTCTCAGACACCCAGCTCCAAGAGACAGAGTGGAAAGACGTCACCAGCTCCGGTAAGCCTACAGTGTGGGAGAAGGAGGATGTCCTGTTTGAAGGGGTCCAAGTGTAGCTCTCAAGGTGTCTGGAACTTAGACGGACTGTGCTGAATTATTGACAACCCTGTTACTCCATTAACCCTTCATCTACTCATACTCCTCAGTCTACTGCTTGATTGACTAAAGTCTTCTCTCACCATCCAGAGTGTCAGTTCAAAAATCTCTCTCCTGGTACACAGCATGTTTTTTTTTTTTTTTTAAGTAAAGTTTGTTCTTGAAAAACTTGCCATCATCCATAAGTAAGTTTTCAGCTTGTAATTGCATTTTATGATCAAAATGAAACATTTCAAAGCAATTAAATTACAAAATCTTTGATTTTTTTTTTTAATGGCTTTTCCTCAAGGTTATGATTTTCTTACATACCTCAATATTCTGAAAACTTTCTGAGACTCATTTTTCATTGACTGGCATGACATATAATGGGATATGGTGGCAGAAATAAGTGAGCCTGAGCACTGGGGAAGCCGGTGGCCACCAGCAGAATAGAGAAGTGCTTCTACTGCGTGTGCAGTGTAGGGAGGGCCAATCGGCTCCGCTGTGCTTCACACACAAAGCTCCTGCTGTGTACTGAGGAGGAGGATGGGAGGGATGCCAGGTGATAAGTAGGAGCAGAAGCTAGGTACCCTTAGGCCGGTACCAGTGTGCTGAGTATCCACCCGTTAATGTCTTTACCCAGCCTATGCTCCTGGGAAAGGACACATAATAGATAACGGCTCCTTACAGGAAAACAAAGTTTCTTGGTTTCAAAGGTAGTTGTGTTCTGTGCTCCTAGCCTCATCAGTGTCCTAGAATCCCTCTGCCATGTGTCTTCTTATGACCAGGGTTGAGGTGAAAATCATTTTCACTGATAATATAAATCTTAAAGCTTTAAGAGAAGTTTTGGGTTTGTTTAGTATTTTTATGTTTTATTGACTTACAAGTTCTCAATATCTATCCCAAATTGGTCTTAAACTCAGGACTTTCTGACTCAGTCTCCTAGGTACTGACAGTGTGGGGGTGCCACAATATACAATTTCTTTGGGGGGGCGGGATCAAGACAGGGTTTCTCTGTGTAGGCTGGCTGTCCTGGACTTGCTTTTGTATGCCAGGTTGGCCTCGAACTCAGAGATCTGCCTGCCTCTACCTCCAAAGTGCTGGGATTACAGGCGTGCACCACCACACCCAGCTTCAACTAATGTTTCCTTTTTATTTTTATTTTTCATGTAAATGAAAATTTATCAACTAATGTTTCTTTACCAGAAAAAAATGTTCTTTATTAGAAAATAATGTACAAGTGCTGTTTGATTTCTCAATCAAGGAGGCTAATTTTTATTTGCTCAAAAGAACGGCAGTTTTAGCCTAGACACTTGCTGAGAGGCTTGGAACTTTAACTTGGGAAGTCTCTAACTCTCCGTTTTCTTTTAGGTCACCATCACTCCCAACTCCATGAGGAAGATTTGTACATACTTTCGTAGAAAGTCTCAAGATGATTTCTGTAGTCCTGAACACTCGACTGAATTATAGATTCTAATCTGAAAATTCACTGAACTTGGGTCTACAAAGAAGAAAAAAGACTTTATAATTCTGGTCTTGTAAGAAAATGGTCATGTTTTCATTCTGGAAAAAGTCTTTCTACTCCTTAGCAGACCTAGTCAGGTCTTACTGTCTAGTGTAGACACAGCTGCCTGGTGAGTGCTGTTTTCATTTCCTGTGGTGATTTGTCATCTGTAGCCTTTCCTAGCAGTCTGTGGTAGTGACATCTGGTTCATGGAGGCAGAAAGGAAAGCGTGCCCCTTGTTACCCTGGCTGTGTGTATAGTGGAGTGCCCAAAGTCCAACACATGGCGTCTGTGGAAGCCAATCTGAAGACAGCCTCTGCAGAAGGTACCTTCTGCAAGCACGGCCTTACCTGAATATGTATCTGCTCACTATACTTGTGTGTGTTTTCCAAACTGTAAAAAAAAATGTGATATTCTTGTGTACATTCATGGTGGTTTCCATGTTAAAATACAGTATCTTGAGTTGAGGTTGTGATTATCTTAAATGCGGTGCTCAATGTCAGCTCTTTAGAGAAAGGAGAAAACAACAGAAAGCTGGGTTTGCTTCCCTGAGAGCTGTGTAGGTCTCGTTTTTTCCTAGATTTCTGTTACAAACCAGCATCGTCATGTAGTTGGAGCGGTTGAGCACTTTCTTGAGATGCTTTAAAAAGTCGGTTACACTGAAACCAGGGCTACATGTTAATGTCATAATCAGGCTTTTAAGATTAAAGGGACTTCTTACCACTTTTTATAAGGATGGTAGTGCTGAACTAAAGAGCATTGGTTGGTTTTATTTTGTTTTGTTTTCACAAAAGGCACTAACTAGCATATTGTTAAGCAAAGAAACCCACAGCACTTTTTCTTGACCTTTAGTGCAGAGGGTATGTCAGCGGACTCTAAATAGTGTTTGAAATACTTTTCTTTAACTTTTCTTTCCTTTAAATGCTACATGTCAGTCCTCATGAAATGAGCATCATATCTCCCTTTGCAGCCTCTTGGAAAGAAACTTTATCTTCAGGGAAACCGTTCCCATACAGTTAGGAAAGATCCTAGGGACTGGTTAAACTTTTTCTATTCTTGTGATTTTTAAACCTTTTATTAAAAACTTTAATTCCTTTGAGATTGTGAATTAAGCTTATAAAACAAACAGGACTGAATAAGTCCAAGTAATAAGCGTTGGTTTTCTGTGGTTTTAATCAAGAAAAAAAAACATTAAAGGACTCAGGAGGCAGAGGCAGGCAGTCTCTGAGTATGAGGCCAGCCTGGTCTGCAAAGCAAGGCCAGGGCAGCCAGGGCTCTTTTACACAGATACTCCCTGGGGGGCGGCGGGTGGGAGGTGGTAAAGAAAGTCAGATTACAGTTTAAGACACATGTGGTAGTGTTAACTGACTATTGGAATCTACAGTGGTGTTTGCTTTTAGAGTATTAGGCAGTAGGAAGGTATTTTTCATGATGCATACCTGCCAGTAGTGTTGAATATATCTTGCTTTGAAAGCCAGTGGTGGTGATCAGTAAAGAAGATGGTTTGTGTCCACGTCTGGCAGCACTGCCAGGTGAATCTGGGGCAAGTGGCTGTCCGAAACTGTGGGCTGTGCTTGGAAAACTGGTGCCACAGATGGGTGTTGTAGGTCACGTGTTACAAAGCAGTAATTATCCTGCCTTTATTTTATTTTTTAGTATCAGACTTTGAGCTGACCCTGAATAATAAGCCTTTTATTATCTGGTGTCCTTTCCCAAGCTTTTTACAGTGACCTGGAAGCAATCCACACAGAAGTAATAATCTAGAGTCCCTTTTTCTTGTTTATGGAGTAAAATGTGCTTGTTTCCAAAGATATACTCTAGTTTAAACTGAAAGATGCTCTAATAAATGCCTTACTTTGTCAAACCTTGGGTGTTAGATGGCGTTGGGGCACTTGGTGCACTGGTTTGAACAGCAATGGCCTCTGTGGTCTCATATTTGAATGTTTGGTCACCAGCATATAATCCCTTTGAAAGGATTATAAGGATTAGGAGGTGTAAGGGGTGTGGCCTTTCTGGAGGAAGTGCATGGTGGGGGCGTTGCTTTTACTTCTCCCCACCCTCTCATATCCACTCTGTTTTGACTTGTGAATCAGGATGTAGCTCTCAGCTACTGCTCCAGCTCCAAGTGTACTGCCATGCTTCCTGCTGTGATAATTGACCAAACCTGAAACTGTAAGTCAGCTCCCCTGTTAAATGCTCTCTTTAGTAAGAGTGGACTTGGTCATGGTGTCTCCTCACAGCAATAGAGTGGTGTCCATGACACTTGGTAAGGAGAATGGCTAAAGTTGTTCTTTATCTGTTGGTGTACTTTAAAAACAAACAAACAAACAAAAACTTTAGTTACATTTCTTTTATCTCTTTCTCCCTACTCCACCCCAGTCCCTTCCGACACCCCTACACCAGAGAGAAGAGAAAAAGGGTTAGTGGGAGAGGAGTACAGTTCTCTTCGCTGCTTCCTGCTGGTCAGGGTCATTGGTTTCCTTGCCGCCAGTCCAATCCTCATTTCAGGAGATCTCCAACTTCATGTCTCACAACAGCAACCAGGAGGCCGGGGGGGGGGGGCGGTAAGGGGGAGGAGGCAGGAGCAGCCCTGTTCTTTCCTGGAGCCCCCACACTCTCTGGGCTCTGGAATTTATTCTCTCTCCAGAGTCCTCAGATCTAAACTGTCTGCAGCTGGCAAGGAGCTCCTCTTAGAGCCCGCACGAGGCAAATAGTCTGCTGCTGTGGCCCCTCTGAATCAGTCCCACATCCCACACCTGGGATTAAAACAAAGCTGTGTTTATATCCACAACATTTGTCTAAGCAAGTACTTTCGTTGCAAACTTTTCCATTTGGATACATTTCAAGCAGTGTGGCTATATTACTATTAGTTTCTTTTGCTTAAAATGTCTCTTATGTGGGCTGCACATATAACTGATGAAGGGTAGCCGCCTTTGCATTGAGAAGAGGGCGCCAGCCAACAACCTTCCTTCCTGCCCCTTGTTAAAACTGCACTAAACTGGATGGTGGTGGTACACATTTAATCCCAGTATTCAGGAGGCAGAGGCAGGATCTTTGAGTTGGAGGTCAGCCTGGTCCACAAAGTAAATTCCAGGACAGCCAGGGCTGCACAGACTGGTTCAAAAAACTGCACTAAGACTTTTGAATACCTGGTGGATAGGAGGTGTGTGTGTGTGTTTATACTTCTCATACACATGCTCAAAATAGCTCACAGAGCCTGATGATCTGAGCCCCTATCCCCAAGACTCCCTGGTGAAGAGAACCAACTCCCACAAATTGTCTTCTGGCCATCATATGTTCTTGGATTCATATTCCTTTCCCCCTACACACATTTTTTTTTTCTTTAAAAACAAGCCTATTAACGTGTTGTGGCGGTCACATGTCTAGTCCATGTGTCTGTTGCATGCCTATCATAAAACACCGATTCTCTTTGGGCTGTTTTTGTCCTTTCCCTAATCCTAAGAGAATCAGGGCACCCTCAGAGCAAAGGCCAAGTACTCTGACAGAATCCACTCACACCTAGGCCGTGGAGACAGCATCTCATGGTGTGCTTGGGAAGGGAGCCGAGGATAAGGCACTAGGAAGCTGGAGCTAAACCCTACGGTTCTCAGAGGCGCTTGCTGCTGCTTGCCTTCTGCCTGCTGCTTACGGGGCTTCATGGGAACCCATGCCATCTTGCACACTAACCAGTTTTCCCATTGTCTTGAAATAATGAAAAATTTGGTATGGCAGCCCTTTGGATATTGGCTTAAAGTTACAGGCATGCTGAACCCCTTTTGTTGGATTTTAATTTTATGCTTTGCTACAACTTTCAGATAGCCATGTTGTAGAATGTTAAAGAAAACCCTGTTTCTATGTGGGGCTAAATTTAAATGCAGGATGCTAGAGTGTGTAGAGGTTACTCAAGAATGCTGTGGAATAAGCTCAATGCTTTAAAAAAAAAATTAGTGGCTGGGAAGAGGACTGGTAGAGTGAGTGGAGTAAGTGCTTCAAGCTTGGGGACCAGAGTTCAGATCCCCAGAATCCACAGAATTGCAAATGCCAACTTGTTGTGGCAACCTGTTTTCATTCCAGTTCTAGGACGGGAGAATACAGGATCTCCAGAGCAGCCTGGCTAGTTAGACCAGTCTTGAGAGAGTTCTAGGTTCAAAGGAGAGCCCTTGCCTCAAAGAGTATGGAAGGAAATGGAAGACTGAAGTCAGCCTTGTGCTTCTCTACACACATGGAAAGAGCATACACGTGTGCCCTCTGTATACATCCACATGCTTAAAATTGTCAATTGTTCTCCTTGCTGAGTGCGCTCACAGCAAGCGTCAACACCTGAGGGGCACTGTGTGGCTAAAGAGGTTTGCTTGCTTTCATTGCCCTCTCTGCTGAGCCCGAAAAGGATTTCAAGGGTTCAGAAATGTTCCCTTTCTTCTCCATTTCTCTTGGATTTCTCTACTGGCCACATGTTCTAAATTTGTGTTCAAGCCATCTTGTGGACATATGACAGCAGCAGTACATTGCAAATGCCCTGGATTGGAACTTTCATCTCACCTGCCCTTAGTATTAACCACCGGGGTCCAAGTCCTGTGTGGGGCACCTTCTTTTCAATTGTCACCGGAAGTCACTTCCTCGATTGGCCTTCCTGAGCTCAAGGCAGCACTTGAGAGAAACAAAGACCAGACTTCCAAGCCCCTTGCATGAGCCTGTGTGTAAGCAGCTATGTGTCAACAACCAGTCTCTTCCCTGTTAATAATTTAGAATTTCCTTTCCCTGCTGCTCACAGGGCCTGTAGTTGGATCCCCATAGACCTTGATGGTCAAGGCAGAGCTGCTGAGGTGATGGGAAGGGCAGGCCTAGTGGAAGAAGCTAGGTGGACAGGAACGACCCCATGAAGGGGATGCTATTTCTCAGCCCTTGCCTGTCTCCTGCTTCCTGGTACCACTGGCCCATGGGCCACGAGGCCATGAAGGAAACCCAAAGCTGAGTCAAACTTCTCTGGTGAAAGTTGATTTGCCCAAAGTATTTTGTCACAGCAACAGGAAAAAAAAAGAAAAAGAGCTTATCTTCTACTTGTTTTTATTGTGTTCTTTATAACATGGTCACTTTGTGGATTTGAATCTAAACCCTGCCTGTTGGTTCTGGGCAATTTCCTGTCTGTAAAGTGGGCTTGTGGTTCTTACACATTTAGTTTTAAGTTGGTGCCTGGTACATATTAGCAAACATAGTTACTGTTAGCCATTCTCAAAACGCAAGAAGAGCAGGAGTGGTTGCCTACATTAGATGGTCATACTGCTTAAACCCCAACCCTCATGTTTCCATGAGGTTGCCGCCCACAGTGGCATGGGCACCAAGGGTAACCTGGGAAGCTTTTCCCGTGGACCCAGGCCCCCCACAGCTCCCTCACTGCAAAGATGTGAGCTCACGTCCACCAGGTATGGAGATTTTGGCCTTGTCCCACCTAGTTCACATAAAGACTCCG